AAAAACACAAGAAAAGTGCCTCGATCCTACGCGAATCGGTGTAAAAAAGAGGTTATAGTGAATGTTGAAATTCCTATAGGATTGAGGTGTAGGAATGCATCCATAGGAATTTTGAAGGTGTGGTTCCTTTGATCCAAAGGGCTTCTTTAGGAAAAAATCCAATGGATTGGAATCCTCCAATATTTCTATGAAAATCCTTCAATCCAAAGAGGCCCTAGTGCTATTTTCCTGGCTCTGCCACTGACTGCAACTCGTTTCGTTTTAAATAAAAATCGGCGCGCCTCTGGCCGGAGTACACCAATAAAACTATTGCCGCTGCCATCCACTCTGGCTTGGTTGGTTTCTTCTTCTGGGCCTGCGGCCTGCGTCAGCCTTCCCGCTGCACCGTTGCAACAGTCTATATGTAAGTGCAGCAGTCTAGCATGAGATGGCCGCAGTAGATAAGACGTTTCTGTTCTGAGCTCAGTGCATGCGCAGATTAAAGTAGCCCCCATTTCATTTCTTCTGCCAGCTTATAAGTTTCTACTATACTATAGCTTTCTTCTGCGTGATCGTTTTAATTCGTTTCATGCATGCAGTAGATTGTTGTCCTCTGGTTGTACCGGTGCTTGCCAGGGTCCAAAAGCTTCATTCCAAGAGATGCTTCCGCCTCAAGCCATGGCCATGCAGCGTCTAGCCTGATAGTACAAGGCTTTCGGCTGCTTTATCATTTTCGTGGTTAAATTCCTGCAGCTGCCTTATGACCTTATCAGACATGAAACTCTTCATCAAGAGTAGTAGCATCTCCATGCCGCCCTGGCAGTTCAAAATCCACATCCATGGGTGGCATAATTGATCTCCCTGTGTTGGGTGAGAACGCCCTAGACTTGGCAGTGCAAAGCACAAACAGGATGCTAGCTAATTTGGCTGAGCTCAGAGGGACACAAGTGGGCACCATGTCACCATCAGGCACCACCACTACCTCGAAGCAAAGCACACCACCAGGGTCACCGAATGGCAATGCAATCAATGTGGGTTCACTACTCCCATTCTCAACAGATAGACTAGGGCAAAGCATTAGAAACAAGAGCCGCGCCTGCATGCGCACACAGGGCAATCTGTTCGCCCACCCCCTACGTACCTAGTAGCTGTTTCTTGCCCGTGCACTGTCGGAGTAGTCTGTAGACGCGCACGTAGCAAGAATTATTGGGCGTTGGTGTACGTGCTCCGCATTCACTTCCTTCTCCTCAGCTTCGTCCATGTTCTGGCCCAGCCCCACACCGATCGATCCATCGACCGGCCTTAATTGGAATTCCCCTTTATTTGCTTCTGCGGCGTGCTACTACTTACGTCTTCGTTTCCAGAAATTCCACATGACGTGATCCATGGAAAGCTGCGGCGACGCTCATCTCCATCGAATTTTTATGTCGAGAGCGATCGATCGACCTTAAGTGCACTTCCCCCCTCCGACTCCATTCCGTTAATTGATGATAGTATCTAGTAGAACAGCAGGATCGGTGTCAGAATTCCTCGAATTTTCTTTCTTTCTTTCCTCAGGGAAGGCATGCAGTTAAGTTGCTTACAGAGGGTGCACGTAAGACATCTCGACGTGCCGGCCAGAGCTACTTACTGATCCTGGGATGAGCACAGTGCTACAATTACTCTCATGAACAGGCCTGCTGTGGCAATGTGCATGTACATCGCAATTCGCAAACCGGTTTGTTTCTTCGACGCACACCTGCCATGCATGATGTCAATCCTGCACGCGTGCGTCGGCGCAGTCTAAGGGCTTCGTAATAAAGTTGGTGCCTAGTAAGGGTGTGTTTGTTTCCAGGGATTTTTTGGTGTAGGGACTAAAAAAAGTCCCTAGCAAACCAAACAGGGTGGGATTTTTTGGGCTTTTTGCTAAAAGTCCTTAGAAGCATCTTCTTGAGAGTCTTTTTCAAAAAGTCCCAAAGACTAGAAAAAGTCCTAGACTAAAGAAACAAACACCATCTAAGTCTTGCCAAAGACGTGGGCATCAGATGATGGTCAGAATGCCTACCAGACATTCGAAATGAATTGGGCTACAGTGTAGGCTTCAATGTGCTCGGTCGATGTCCACGAGGTTGCAATTGCGCGCTTTCGTGCACAGTTACGCACGTACCGCTTTGTTGCCGTCCTGCTGCTCACAGCGTCGCATGCATGCAATGCAACCATGCGCTGCTTGGTCTTGACGGCACACACTGCTGACCATCATGCCCGTCTCATTGGTGAGAATATCTGCATCAGCGCAGGCAGGGCGGCCATTTCCAATTTCACTCTTCTAGTTTCGAGCCAATTTTGATAGGGATTGGCTATGGGTAAGTCAATTGAAAAATCAATTTTGGTCAATCGATCTGTTTTGATCTGCCCGATGCAATAAAGGTGGTCAAGATTGCTTCCTCAACCTCTAGCGTCCACATTCTTCTTCTTTGTCAACCGCCCAAGGTATCACCGGCTGAATAGCCAGCCACCACCACCCGTGGCCTGCGGCGCTCCCGCGCCAACCTCGTCGCCTCGCGCCCTCCCTTCAACCACCAACCACCGACGTGATGCCGCCACTCTTGGTCATTCCTCTAACTCCGGCGATGATCAGTTTTTTTCGGCGAACCTGCACCACCCCCACATTCCTAAGATAGATAATGGGGCCATCTGCCATCCTAAGATAAATAACGGTGTCACGTGCCACCACAAGATAGACCCAAAGAGCTCCTCCGGTGAGCCGGCGGCTGCTTCTTCCTTTCCTTCATTGGCTGCTTCTTCCTTGCGGAATCGACTGACACAAAATGCTTTTTCAGGTGACTAATGTGCATCTAAACTGATTTTGGGATTGGATAGAGGTAAGTAAATTAAAAAATCAATTTGGGTCAGTCGATTTGTTTGATCTGTCCGATGCAATACAAGCGGTCACAAGTGCTTCTCCAACCTCTAGCGTCCACGTTCTTCTTCTTCCTCAAGCGCCCAAGGTAGGATTGGCCGAATCGCCGGCCACCACCACCCGTGGCCCGTGGAGCTCCCGCGCCAACCTCTTCGATCGTCTCGCCCTCCCCTCAACCGCCTACCATCCACGTGCTGTTGCCACTCCCTATCATCACTCTAACTCCGGCGATGACCATTTTTTTCAAACGAACCTGCACCACCCCTAAAGATAGATAATGGGGTCATCTGCCGTCCTAAGATAGATGACGGGGTCATCTACCACCATAAGGCCTTATTTGGTTGCTTGGGGAGATGTACACGGGGTAGAGCTGCCCCGGACTGAAAATTCATGGCAAAGCGAAAAGCCCAGGGAAATTTTGCATCGCCATTTGGGAGGAGCGGGGGAAATTTTGCTCAGATTCATCTTGATGTTGATACGCGTAAAGTAGTCCCCGGCACACGAGATCTCGCCGCCCGCCGGAGATGTTGTCTCTCACCAAAAAGCATATACAGGATCCAGCCCATCGACTGCAGCGGAGGGCTTGAACGGGTCCTCGCCTTCTTGTTCCTCGGCGAAGAGAGGTTGGAACGATGAGAGAGGAGGGGGTCGACCGATTGAGGTGGACGGCGAAGGAACAAGGAAAGATCGGGCGAGACAGCGGTGTGGTTTGTGAACAGAGACGAGCGAAAGAAACAAGAAACTTCTCCAACAAGTAGTGACTGGTGTTTTCTTGTCCTTTTCTCCGTCGGCTGCTTCTTCCTTTTCTCCGTCGGCTGCTTGTTTCTTCCCAAATCGACTAGCCCAAAATGCTTTTTCAGGCGACTGACGTGCAGCTAAACTGATTTTGATAAGTAGCGGAAATAGACTGCAATCCAAACCTGGAAAACCCTATCGATCCGCTAGTGCACAACGTTGTACCAATAGAACAGCAAACGAACAAAACTCAACGAGGTGCAGTGCAAGCCCAAGACCGTGGATGAGGCGTTTGGATTCATCCTATCCACCTCCCGCCGGCCCCGCGAACTCGCAGGCTCATTCGATCTTGTGTCAAAACATTAAAAAAAAAATCGATCTCGTGCATGCATTGGATCCAATGACCCACCAAAGCTAAAGCTGGGCTAATCCGTCTGCAGAAACAACAATCTGCCGAAGCCTCCCGCGGTCCCGCCCCATCAAATCAGATCCAAGCTCGCGCGCGCCGGGTAGCTCCCAAAATCTGCAATCCCTCTCATCATCCGCTCAACAAGTCTCAGATTTGAGGCGGTCGACTAGCGCTTGACCCGCCCAATGACCCAAACCCAACCCGAGGGGCCCTTCCTCCACGCTCAAGCGGCAGAGGCGGCCAGGCCGGGTCCGGACTCCGGACCCGGCGCGCGCGCGGCCAGCGGCGCCAGTGCTCGCCGTGGCAGGTGCACTTATTGCGCGACAGTGGCGGTGCATGCTTGCTTGATGACGCCCTGCGCCGCGCTGCCCAAAGTCTATACGGGGCTAATTTTCACTTCCCATGGCATCGAGCGTGCGCTGGTGCCGCCGCTGAAAATGGGTCGGTCGACCGGATCGAGTAAGTAAATAAATAAAGACACGGTAATTACCCAACCTGGCGATCGAGGCGACACGGTGAAAACTGAAAGTTGGGCCGGCTGGCGAGATACACGGACGGGTGGCACTGATGGACGGGTGGTTGGGCTCTTTTGAGCACCGCAAAGCGCGCGACGTGACATACTACACGTAGCAGTGACGACCTATGTGTGTGTAAAGAGGAGTGAGAACAGTGGAGCATGGGCGCTTGGTACTAGGATGTTCCAGCCCCACTCCACACGCATCGGCCGATCATAGTAGCATGATGATGACCTCAAGTCCTCAACCCCCCTCGCCACCCTGCTCGTTGCATAGTCTTCTCTAGTAAAAACCTGCGGGGCCCGGCGCCAAACCAACGCCCACCAGCCCGCAGCGCAGAGCAGAGCAGAGCGCCCGCTCTTCTAATATAAACGGCTTGACTTCTGTTCTAGCGGGGCCGTAGTTGCATTGCAGTTGCAGGTTTGCAGCTAGCCAGAGTGAGTGAGTAGTGAGGCGAAAGGAAATGGAGGCGGCGGGAGAGGGGAGGAAGCTCCATCACCACGCGGGCGGCGGCAGGGCGCAGATGGAGGCCAGCCCGGAGCGCGGCAGGCCTGCGTACGCGTCGGCGGTGACGGCGAGGTCGGCGCCGGCGAGGCCCATGAGGCGGGTGCAGATCATCTACTACCTCTGCCGCAACGGCCAGCTCGAGCACCCGCACTTCATGGAGCTCGCGCAGCATCCCCACCAGCCGCTGCGCCTCAAAGGTAGGCACCTCTTCCATCTGCAGCTTCCTCTGCGTTCCTGGTCTTTCGTTTCTGGCCATGGCTGATCGACGGTCCACTTTTGTTGGTGCGAAGATGTGATGGACAAGCTTACGCTGCTGAGGGGCAAAGGCATGCCTGCTCTCTTCTCGTGGTCTTGCAAGAGGTAGGTGCCGGGTCGTTTACTGTACACGCCCCGTACGTATTCTCATGAAAATGTACTCATGGTTTTGCATTTGTATTGCCCTTTGATTTGAAGGAACTACAAGAACGGCTACGTGTGGAACGACCTCTCGGAGAGCGACGTGATATACCCGTCCGACGGCGTGGAGTACGTCCTCAAGGGCTCCGAGATCTTCCCCGGCTGTTCTTCCGGTAATCATCATGCTAATCCCTCTCCATCACTTACCTGCTGCCATGGCCGTGTTGCGAAATGGACATGGCTTGCATGAATCATGACGCATGTAAAGCAAAAACTTCTTCTTCTTCCTAGCATGAGCCATGAGGGATACTGTGATAACTTCATTACTTTTTTGTTCCTTCTTCTCGTGCAAAAAACAAGCCGTCTTTTCCTTCTTTTCGCCTCTCTGTCCCCATTGTCAGCTCGTTTTCAAATGAATGGTCCAAGAGAGAGGAGCTGGTAAAACGAAAGTACCTACAGCAGCTTCTTACACCTTGCACGTTCCCTTTCTGCACCCGCGTCGAAAGTCGCGAGGAATTTATCATCCAACGGCTCAAACGCTAGAATTCCTACTCCTTTTTTCTCCATGGCATTAATGCATGCATGCACGGTGGCGCCAGAAGTCTTTCATGGCATGCAATGCAGTGTCTGAAGTAAAACCTGAATTTATACGAGGCAGAAATACAGTGGTCACTGTCCAACTAATTTTCGTTTCTCTGATCGCCAGCCGTTGCAGCGGATCGGTTCCAGCACCTCCGGGTGACGGACAGGTCGCCAACCAAGCCGCCGCTGGCCCTCCCGCACAGCCACAAGCAGTACGTGGACGGCTACCGGGACGACGCCGGCGAGGACCCCGAGGACGACGAGCTTGGGTACCCGTACCACCGGCGTGCCGCGGCGGCTCGGCTGGGCGGGCCGAACAAGCCCGTCTCGGCCCGCACCAACCGTGGCCACCCCGTGGAGCTGCCCGTCGAGGAGACCTCGCCGCCGTCCTCGACGTCGTCCGACAAGCCGCCGCCGGCGCAGCAGGCGAGCCGCTGCGACGAGGCCGAGCCGAACAGGACCGGCTCGATGCTCCTGCAGCTCATCGCGTGCGGGGCGGTCACCGCCGGTCCGGCCAAGTGCGGCGGCCGGGCCGAGCCGAGGCGGAGCTGCGGCCTGGTGAGCCGGCTGTCGTCCCGCGCCGGCGCGGAGGATGACGACGAGGAGGAGGAGGCTGGCGGCGAGCTGAGCCGGCGGTTCGGCCGCATGAGGGCGGAGGAGAAGGAGTACTTCAGCGGCAGCATCACCGTGGACAGCGGTGGCCGGGGCACCCCGCTGCCTGCTTCGTCGCTCAAACGCTCCAACTCGTACACCGAGGAGAGGTAATAATCAGCTTTGCTTGCAACCACTGATCCTCCTTCGTTCGTCACGTGTGGCATACATATTCTCAGTTTGAAGTACGTAGTGAGCTGCAGTAGCTTTGAATGACACTGTCGGACGCATATGAGTTCCCATAATCTCACTCGGCTTGTCACATCGGTCACTCATTATAATTAGGGTCATGTCATGTGAACGTAGCCCACGAGGTTTGGTCTTTAGCCATGGCAGGACACGGAGGTCAAAAGATGAACATGCACGTCCTTCGTCCTGTAAAAATGAAAGGAAAAAAGCTTGCATGCATGCGTGCATGTCGTCGCTTAGGACGAAGGCCGCCAAAGCGCCAAGCATTGCAGGATCCATTGGTCTGTTCACGGTTCTAGCTAGGACGTACTACCATTGTATGGGCGGCAGCACGCAGCACAGGCATTATTGCCGGGCGGGAAGTACGTACGTACGTGCGTACGTGCCGACCGTGCACTGCCCCATGGATTCTCGTTGGCTGTGTGGTGCACTGTACGTTTAGTCGTGGCACGTGGCACGGCGGCTAGCCTAGCTGCGTCGCGCTGCTGCAGTGTTCAGTGCACTGTGCAATGCACGCGCGGGCCACCGCCCACTCTGCTCGCTCGATCGATCGATCGGCAGGCGAAAGTGCCTTTCACATACGAGCAGACATGCTACTGCTAGGGAGTGCATATCTGGTGCTACGGCTCAGAGTATGCTACGCTGCTCCGAGACAGTTTAGTGCGTTGGATCGGATTGCAGGGACAGGATTGGATAAGCTCACCTCCTTCTAGCGAATATACAAATAACACCCTTTGTACTTAGCAATTCAGGGTTAAGTTCATGGCTCTTAAGAGGTCCGTTCACTAACAAGAATGTCAGCCTCGCACACATTTGCTCTTCATGCCAAGTACAGATAAGTTTCTGACATAGAGCTGACTAGCTCATGGACTAGTCACCACAATTTAGGAATACCAGCCAGCCAAAAAAATGGCACGATTATAACATTTGAGAAACGGACTAACTCTTTTGGTTGTGTCTTGCAAGTCATATTGTGGTAAATCAACAAATGATTTTTTTTACATGGTCTTATAGGTCAAGAAACAACAAAATCGATCAGGGGAATTAGATGATGCAACATGCATGGAGGTTATTTGACATCACAAAAGTGTTTTAGAAATTCTTCATAATCAATGTTGTTCGGTTTTTGCAAAAGTTTTTATTATTGTTTATTTTTTTCCCAGGTCTGTGCCCACCACCGGATGGTGTACAACGAGAGTAAGACCCATCAGGTGGTATGCAGTAAACTTGTTTTGTTTAGCGTTGTAAATTTGTGAACTAAATGGTACTCTTGTAAATAGATATATTATATGATCACCATGTGGTACTCTTGTGAATTTGTGAAGTACTAGAAGACAAAGATGTCAGTATGTGGTGCACCTTTATTTGTTCAAGTGATTTTGTTTCCAGTGATCTTTTGATGCTATGAATGAATTCTGTGAACTTGCATCGTGATCACATAGTGCTCATGACTAGTGTGTTACCATTGCCTTGCTATAGTCATGCTTTCAGGATTGTGAGTCATGCAAACAAGTGGCAATACATTTTCTTCTACTTCTACTTAATTAATGAGCAACTCATTCTGGAAAAGTATTAGCATATCTGCACTCATCTCTTTATTGCATTCGAGTGAAGAAATCTGTTGCAGGCAACAAATTCTGTATGTGTACTTGCAATGTATTCCTAATAAGTGTAAATTTCCTTAATCTGTCCCTTTTTATTGACACTGGATGTTGGTAGCAGCAACCGACCCACTAGGAAGCTCAGTTTAGTAGAAAAAAGGAGTGCTCAATTCAGTAGAGAATTTGTTGCTGAGGACAGAATATGCAGATCTGTTATGATTTTGCAAGGCCTTTCAGGGGCAAGATGCAAATGTACCAATGGGGCGTATGTGAAAAGATAAGTGAGTTGATCCTATCCCTTGCATGCAGATCCAACGCACCATGGGGTCTTGGAGCAGCGTATCATGAGATGGACCGTAGCACTAGATATTTTCCCTGCTACTAGCCTAGCCTACTACAGTAGCTGTCATCACTGTGCTCTATTCACGTCCAACGCATGCATATGATCGCTGCTGAGAATGGTTTTGTGTTTGAATTCAGGGGCTCGAGGCTTGGCGTGGGGGCGATCGGCGAGGAGACGGCGGATGAGAGGATCGGAGGGGAGGAGGGAATGATGAGGGGGAGGTGCATCCCGGGCAGGAAGAGGCAGCCGCAGCAACAGAAGTAGGCGCACGCCTCGGCTTAGTTACCCAGATTAATCTGCTTGAGCCAGACCATGTAGTAATAGTTCTTGTAGCACGAGTGTTTAGCATCTCTACTTGTGTGTTGTGGACCATGGGTTAGCATTGAGAGCTAGGCTTAGCATCTAGGAATAGTTCGATGTTGGACAAGTCAGCACGCATGGCACTTAATTTTGGATCCTATGTCTATGTGAACGGTGAGAGTGGGTAGTACTGTATCGATACGGACTCGTAGCAAGTAATCGATTGATCATGCCCGTTGTGCCTGTATTTCTGACACTGTATGTCACACCCCCTGATACTATCTAACAACATCTACATCGGACTTCTCAAATTGACCACTAATCGAAGAGAAGAGAGAAACAAAAAGTTGACCCAACCAAACCCCTCAAACTCTCCTTAAGGCTGGCCATAGTGGGGTAACATAAGTAGTAACATGTACTTGGAACTTGCAAACGTGCTTATGTGGCAGGTAATTAGAGAAGAAAGAGATGGTTATAGTAACATAGGTAGATACCGTAACATAATAAATGTGATACTACTATGTGTTATGCATGGCAATAAATGAGACCATCTATGATACTACCATATGATATTATGCACTACAGAGGTAGTAACATAGACTAGTAACATATGCATGTTACTAGTCTAAGTTACTCCCCACTATGATCAGCCTAAATTCTCGGACCGTCCGTCACTCCTCTTATTCATCTTTATAGGAGTACTCTCTTCTTTTCGGTTTATTGGTCCCATCTCATTTTCTTGATTTTTTCCATACTATAAGTCTTATTTTCACTTTTTCCCATCACATGTTCACATTTCAATGTGCATTAAATTGATGCATGCAAAGATTAAAAAAAAGATCAGCCAATGAAAAAGATCAGCCAATGCATGTAATCATTTCTACTCGTTTAGTGGTCATCCATGCATACACTGTAAGAGCAACTCCAAAGCATGTACCCATTTCGTCTGTTGCCGTCCAAGTGCTGGTCCAATGCGCCGAACCATTCGCAAAACACGTTCACGCGGACCCATTTGCGGCTAAAATGCATCGGCGCGGACGCGTCGCGCGTCCTCTCAGTGTCCGCCGCGTCCCCACTTGGCGGCCGCCCAACTACGGCGGTCGTCTTTATTAATGACAATCGCCCCCGCGGGCCCACGAGTCAGCGATGGCGATCAGCCTTTTTTAAGCCGAGCGTGCGGTTGGGGGCATCCTCATTCGCTTCCAGAAGCCCCCGTACCCATCTCGCCACCCCACTGTGCTCCCCGTCGGTGAAAACCCGTAGCCACCGCAATGGGTTTCTTCTCCGTCAAATGCAAGGGCAAGGCCCGAGCCACCCATCTCCCCCGCCACCTCCCACCTCCGCCGACGACGGAGACGCATGAGCAGGCCTACCTCGAGGAGTAGCGGCAGCGAAGGCTGGCCGAGGAGCGCCAGCGAGTACCTCGAGCAGCTGGAGCGAGACGCGGAGGAGGAGTGCTACGAGACGTAGGAGGAGGAGCGCCTTGCCTGCGGTGGGTCAGCCCAGCCGACGGCGGTACAACCCACGGCGGACGGTGTCGCTAGAGCCTGGTCGACGGCGTTCCCTTGGGCTAACCCGGCGCCGACGTTGATCGACCTCATCGGCCCCGACGACGACAACGAGGGCGCCTAGGGCATCGCGCCTCCTCATAGTTTTAAGTTTTATCTAATGTTTTAGTTAATATAAAAGTGGACTCGTGGACTCTCGCCGGCCTTTATGACCGACATTAATGTTTAATTAATGTTTTTATTTTTCAAAATGCTTGTGTTATTTTTTTCCGCGCGATCTAAAAAATGGGTTGGGGCAGCGTTGGGCGCAAACGCCGACCCAAACACGAAAGCGGACATGTGTGTCCGCTGGGCCGACCCAAACGAATAAAAGACAAAATCGTCTTCCGTTTGTGTCGGCACGTTGGAGTTGCTCTAATTAATGCAGATTAAAGTTTGAGTAATTTTGTAAACTACGATATACATACATCCACTTAACATCTACCTTCGTTGATGAGATTTCAGATTTAAGACATACAAAACGGAAAAGATGGAGTACGAGATGAGTATGAGGAGTGACCGGACATGTTTAGTCAGTGGTCATGCGTCTGCCACATAAGATTGGACCCACCACAAAGCATTTTTTTTCTTTACTATTTCTTTTCTTTCTTTCTCTTCTTCTTCATCAATCACATGCATGTGAAAGGGCGTATAAGAAAAAAAGTGAGGAACATGGCTGAGTAGAGACGGACACGACCGAGCACTGCATTTCCAGTTTTTGGAACGGAGGGAGTAATTTACATTTTGCTTTTGCAGAGGGGCTTCCGGAGAATGGGAGTAAGGATTCAGACATGCTGCATTTCCAGCCTTTGGACCTCCCCTTCCTCTTTGCTGGTAAATGCATTTTTCCTGCTGCATTTACTTGAGTGCATCTTGCTGCATATGCCTGTTATCGGTTTTCGTGTCTGAATTATTTAGATTATCAGGCGAGCAGGTCCATATACTGGCATGTGAAAATGGACAAAATTGGCCCTTATCTGAAACTTCAACATAAAATGGCCCCAATCTGATTTTTTTTTTCACGAAATGGCCCCTTTTGCATGGCGCTATGCTAGATAGCATGGCGCGGCATGACGCCCTAGCCCGGGGCGCCATGCTACATGTCGCTACCATGACACCCTTGCCCGGGGCGTCATGCTCTCTAGCATGGCGCCCTAGCCCCGGACGTCATGCAAAAGAGGGCCATTTCATGAAATATTTTTAGATTGGCGTCATTTTATATTGAAGTTTCAGATAAAGGCCAGATTTGTTCAATTTTCACTATTAGCGTTCCTATCAGCCTCCCAGCAAGATATGCACGTCATATCTCCATTTAGAACTGCCGTCGTGATGTCTAAAATGGAAATTCGCTGCAGCACCCTACGAAATAATCTAGTCCTGTCAGTGAAATGGGTGATGAGCAAATGGAACAACCGGAGAAAATAGTTCTCACGGTGTTGAGGCAAACATGGAGATGGCCGAACTTGATGATAAAGTTTCTCCTTCAACACCAGATATTTTGGAGACCGAATCTCTCCTTCAGATTGAAGGTTGCAAACAACAAATAGAAAACATGCTGCAATTCTTTTTTGTCCAAATTGCGGAGTCACATGAACCTCTCTGGTCCAAGAAAAGAGTAGCCACAACTAAGAGCATCTCCACCCGTTGTGCCCTCTAGGAGGCGTTTTTTCAGCCTCCTGAGGTTGCCTCGCGTAATTTATGCACTTGGGTGGAGGATTTTTCCAGCCGTCTCCCCACCCAGATGCTCACATGCACTGCTCCAGCATGTCGCCGCTCTCGCTTGTTGTGCCCCTTGTTATAATTAGTTGTTGTATAGGGATAGAATTCTCTTTGAATTGTAAAACCTATTATATCTCTTCTTTTGTTTCAACCTCTCCCGGATCTTCTTCTGTAACCGATCGATCAAGTATCGATCCAATCTTGTAAGCCACGGAATATATCCTATATAATGCAATGCGGCCTGAGCAAAGGGTTCTATGCTTCCCATAATATTTGACATGGTATCAAAGCCTCTTCCTCAACAAGAACACACCTAGCTACCTTCCTCCATCGAGAGCATGTCTACCACCTCCGTCGCCATGTCATCCAGCAGCATGGGTGCACTTTCCACCACCTCCTCCTCCACCTTTGCCTCATCATCCACCACCACCACTACATCCCTCGGACCACCACCATAGGAGAAGCTGACGAGGGGGAACTTCCTTCTCTAGAAGGCTGTCGTGCTGCCGCAGATCAAAGGAGCGCAGATGGAGCATCACCTCGACGTGAAGAGCCCGGCACCGCCGCCCTCCCTCACCATCACCAAGGACGGCAAAGAAGAGCAGATCGCCAACTTTGCAAGGACCCTCTGGTATGCACAACAACAACAACTTCAAGGATATCTGTTGGGCTCTCTTTCCCGCGATATTCTTGCACAGGTCGCCACGTTACAGACGTTGGCCGAAGTTTGGTGTGCAATTCATGCCATGTTTGCTGCTCAGAGTAAAGCTCAAGCATTAACACCCGCATCAAGCTGACCAATCTTCAGAAAGGTAATATGACCATGGCCGAGTACCTTGGCAAAATTAAAAGTTCACAGATGAAGTTGCCTGTACTGCCGCCGCGCTCTCCGATCCGGAGATCGTCTCCAAAATTCTCGCCAGACTAGACATGGAGTACAACCCTGTCGTCTCGGCGCTCGCTGCTCGGATGGAACCGATCACGGTTCAGGAGCTCTACAGCCAGCTCCTGAGCTTTGATGCCCGCCTCAGCCTTCTCCACGGACCAACCTTCGCCAATCTTCTGCCAACGCCGTCTCTCGTGGTCGCGGCTGTGGGCGCGGTCACCAGGGGCAGTCCCGCACTGGTGGGCACGGGCGTGGCAACTCTCAGGGAGATGGCGACTACAATAGCTCTGGCGGCGTCGGCTATAATAGCTCCGGCAACTAGACCAACAAACCAGCAGGTGGAGGCTTCAACAACAACTCTGGCCGCCGCCCCTCTTCCTCCCGGGGGCGTCCTTGGTGCCAACTCTGCAAAAAGGCAGGCCATGAAGTTATGGACTGCTGGCACCGGTATGATGAAGACTTTGTCCCTGATTCACGCCTTGTTGCTGCAGCTATGCACGAGCAAGGGGGCGATGGCGTGTGGTACGTTAACTCTGGTGCAACCGACCACGTTACTGGTGAACTAAAGCAACTCGCTCTCCGGGAGAAATACCTTGGCAACGATCAGATTCATACTGCGAGTAGTGGAGGTATGGATATTCGACACATCGGTCAAGCTTTTATTAATTCTCCTACTCTTAAACGTGATCTTGTTCTAAACGATGTCCTTCATGTTCCTCAAGCTGATAAAAACCTTGCATCTATGTCTCGTTTAGCCACCGATAATAATGTCTTCTTTGAAACTCACCCTCGTTACTTTTTTATAAAGGATC